GTCGAAGGAAAAAAAACTTGTGTAAAGAAAAAAAAAACACTACCTACTCATTCGCACGTGAACAGAGCATCAACTGTAATTATTACTGCCCCTCGACTACCATTTGATAATTACCTTTTAAGCGAGCGTATTACGGTTGCTCGCCGCCAATCGTTGAACATCGTTTTGCTAAACGTTACAATGTCGCACATACATCTAGTGTACCTATGCCTGCACTTTAAAACGATCTTTACGTCGTCATTTGCCGTCATTACTTTTATTAAGAAAAATTGTTCCGCCTACAGTGGACAGTGTGATGCGATTACGTCTTCATTAACGTCCCCATTGGATTTTAATCTGCTGTAATCTCGATTATAAAACAATAGACATTAGTGTCAACTTAAAAACAAAACAATTCAATATGAAAACCTATACCAGTCATTTAACACGTAAATATATAATAACCATAAGAGATTTAACATACATTTTTTGGGTCTATATATACTGAACATGTAAACAGCGTCCAGCTGTAACAAGTTTTAACATACACATTCAATTTTCATGAAAATAATAATGGCGGAAACAATAATACTGAATTAATCGTCTTTCGTAGCAATACTCATATAATTATTTACAATTTTTGGAAATTCACCATTGATGCGAACTTACTTCGCCGTCCGCTATTATCTACCAATTGATGATTATCGAAGTAACTTCCTCGTATTATAATATTTTTAAAATTTTAAACCACTATCAGAATCTGGTGACATCATTTTTTTTCGGACATTTATTCATTATCATATTTTATCTTAAAAACCACCTCGAAATAACGCTGGTCCGTTAAGCGAAATCAACTTTGTCAGAATGATATGGGTATACCTAACATAAGTAAACATCATAAACTGTCTAAAATACCAAAAAAGGATATTAGTATAGTTACCTAACACATATTATGCAGTCGGTTCATTATTTGTACTCTCGTGTATGTATTGTGCGTAATTATTATGAGTACCTACTATGCCTATATTTTACTCTTTTCACCCAAAATGTAATATAACGGATTCACGTGTCCGATGTATGCCTCGTGTGCCTTGGATAAGAAGAGTTATTATTTTTGTTCGTATTTACACGAGGACAAACACCGTTCCGGCATTAACGGCCCGGAACATTTCTTATGTATACTCACCACCCGCCGCGTATGGTTCACTACTCGTCTATTCGTATAATATATACAATAGTGGTATATAATATAGTAATATATATATTTAAATAAAATATAATGATATATATGTATATATCATATATAGTGACACTGGGCTAAATTAAACCGTCCAATGTTTCAGATGACTGAAGTGACGAGCAGGACCGTCGGTTTCAGAACATCTGCCGACGGCGACAGGAAAGCCTTGTCCGTGAGAAGATATGAGGCCAAACCTCCGGAAAATTTGGAACTGGTAAGTCACACGCATAATCAGTCAATAGTACGACGAAGACGACAATAATAGATGTCGACCGTCTTCTATTTTAATACATAATTACAGGGTGAGATTGGGTTAGGTTAGGCTGACCTAGCGTAACCCAGCCCTGTGTTTAAACCTATATACATGTAAAACATATGAAATAGTTATACTTTTCAAGTTAAATAGCAAAAACCTAAACGCAGGCACGAGATGTGAGACCATACCTTTCGAAAGCACAAAACTCCCATAAACAAATATATCTATTCAGAATTTTAAATTAGTTTTAAATATTTACAACAGTTAACGTATTTTTATTGATAACTAATTACGTTTTCTTTTCAACTTTTTTATTAAATGAGTGGCTTAATAACATTATTATATATTGATAGAGGAGGTAATTTAATAAATGACGACTACCAACGATTGAAAAACTTGAGTGCCTATCCTTTCCTAATTTTTATTTTTTATTACTGTACTCATAATGGTATATAATAATAAATAACATTTATTCAAAATAAATGATAAAAGTATCATACAGTTCTATATTTATTGCTATCATGATTATTTATCACCAATTTCTTTGATTTTAATTGAATTTTTGATTTTGCCCTTAAAATAAACTGCTCACCATGTGAAATAATGGAGACTATCCAGAGTGTCTAAATTGTATAGGTATACTCTTAACGATTTCAAAAATACTTTTATAAAGTGTTGTTGGATTTCTTTAGGGAAATTTCAGGTGATATGACATTTATAACCTGAGGGCTGAGACAAAATATGGAATCCCTATAAAGTATTATTAGGTCATAATTTGAATAATATGTCATTTTCACCGTATAAATACATGTGGTTTGTAGTGTCATAACATTCTCCAAGATAACATGTCCAAATGCTTAACCCGTATAAACACATCGGCTTATTGTTTGTACACTTTCTAGTTGTTCAAAATATTATTCACGTTTGTAACATAGCAAATATTTTATTGTATAGCCTATATTTAAATTTTTTTATTACATTCCGCGCGTACTTAATATTATATACCTAGCCTATAGAGTATTTTATAATATTAATTTACTGTATGTCTAAATGTTTATATTGTTTTAAGTACGTCCCCGGTACCTACCTGTTACATCAAAGTTCCCTGACTGTTGCGCGTACAATAATGTATTTTATTGAACAGCATTAGACACCATTGTGCATATTATATTGTATAAGTACTTAATTAACATAATTTACCATATCGTACGTATAGTAATAAAACCCGTATAATGGTATGACACGTAAATTCTTACAAAAAATAACTGGGTACCTCTATAACCATATTCTATGACAATTAGTATAGTCGTACAAGTTAATTTAAAAAAAAATATGAACATATACTACTTTAAGCGTTGGGCAGGCCACTGGGTTTTGGGTGAGCACTGGGACGGGCATGTAAACGATGGATTTTTCTCTCGAAAGCGTCCTGGGTGCAGTTTTTCTGATTGTTTAAAAATATATAATTACATTTTTTTTTAATTTGAAAGTTGTTAAAGTTGACGACGAGGAAACATATAGCCAATTAACATCAATTGATATTCCATGTTAATCGTGACAAAATATTTTTAAGTAGCTTATATTTGCATAGCTATATATAATTAATAACTTTAAATATACTGAACTTCAAAAATCTCGCAAACAATACGATTGTAAAAAACTAAAAATTTTTTACAATAAAAAGTGTGTTCCATTATTATTGTAACGACTGTCCGAGAACATAGTGATATAAAAAAATACACATTTTCAGATTATAATTTTAAAAAAAATTTCTTATAAATGTGATTGGATAGCAATTAATTTTTCGAACGTTTATAGAGTTTAACTTCCCGCGTTAGTAACCAGAGCCTTGCAGTTATTCGAAATTTAGATCGTAAACTTAAACGCTCTGAATATATATTATATTATTATGCTGCGTAGGTGTTTTCAAAAATCCATCGGCAGCTTGGGGTGAATGTATACTGTCGTGCGTGTAGTTAATGCTGGAATTTAGTTTAGTTTTCCATTTACATATGCGACATATTACCTATATTATTATTATAGGTGGGTATTAAAATTTTAAACCGCCCATAGATGCGTTGTAGTTGGACCCACGTCGACCTTTATGCTCGCGGTGACTCGTTTCTCAATCAACGGGTCAGATATCGCCATAGACATGTAATATATTATAAGCTACAGACACCGCGTAGCGTTTAGTATACCGGAATCCCGAGTTTCCGGTTGTGCATGAATACATGGTAGCGACCGGTTAGGTGTATAATACCTATACAATATGCTCGTATATATTATAGTAAATAGTGTCGATATCGTGGCGTGTAAGTAGGTATATTATACAGAGCGATTCGCCAAGCGGTGTTCACCCCCATTTTTCTCTCTCAAATAATGAGTCCATGGAAACTCTGATTTTAGAACTTTTAAATATACTCCAGGGCTATATTTTTAAATTCTTAGAATTTTCACACCAATTAAATGGTGATCTGTGGTTATAAAAACTACCTTTTTTTCAAATATGAATCATCCTTTTGTTCCTATGCATTTTTAATTAAATGACTTTTTTTTTTAAATCGAAATTCGAACTAGTAGTTTTTGAGTTATTTAACTTAGTGTATTAAAGATAATAAGTTCATAGTCCACGATAATGGGTCTAAAAGATGTGATTTTGTTTATATCAAATTAGAAATCATAAAATTATGTTATAAGTTGTTAGACGTTAACAATACAATTATAAAATAATACAGGATTACATTTAACAATGTAAAAATCACTAAAAACAAAATCTATGAATATTGAATAACCATGATTACAGCATTGTAGCATATGTCAAAATTATTCAAAAAATGTCATAACACTATTTTATTTTAAAAAAAAATGTTTAGCTATTCACTTTGAATATATCACTTGAAAAAAAATGAGAAAAATGTATCTTTCCTGGTAATAGATCGGTACCCGTACGTTGTCCATACATATATAGATAATCGTCTTGGTAGGTCACATAGCTGATACTTACTAAACAAATAACAACAAAAAAAATTGTATTAAAAGAAAAATGGATATTAACTGGCTTGCCACTTAGTGAATCACCCTGTATGGTTTAATCCTAATACTTATTACGGTGTAAATGAACGATTAAAAAAAAAATCGATCTGACCTCGAAACCTCGGCTCATGGAAAATACGGAAAAACAAAATTACGTGAATAAGGTACCTATAGTATTATTAATATTATGGGATGCACTCGCGAGTGATGTGAATTGAGTGAGTTGATTGCGTTACGCCAGCACCCATTTTTTTTCTCATCGGCACGCGTTTCCGTAAAACTGAAACAAAAACCGTGATAAAATAAAAACCCTACGAAATCGTAGTTCATCCGCAGCCGGTGAAAAGTGAATGAGCGCCGTGTTGGACCCATGTGCATGTATTATAGGTAGAAACTAGAAAGTGGAAGTGCGCGAGCGCTCGAGTCGGATGGAACGCGCGCGCGGTAGAGGAGGATGCCGCTACGGCCACGGTACTCTGCGCAGTCTGTCCGTCCGTCGGCTAACCCGTCGCTCGCGCGTTGGCGGCAAAATAATCGCGTCCGACCCCTCTGTCGTTGTCGTCGTAGTCGTCGGTGTGTGTGTGTGGTGTCAAGCGGCGGTCAAATCGTCGTCGTACTTTTTTTTATGTGTTTCACATTTTTTAATATCGTCCCAAAACGTTCTTTACTACATTATATAATAACATAACACAATAATTTAATCGTTTATTATATGCACACCTCCCACGTGATGTGCTGTTACGACCGTTATATTATGGATTATCGCCGGTAAATCGTTGGTTGGGCTTACAAACCAAACACATAGCCCATAATATATATTTTGTTTATACGTCTTTCGAATGGTAGTCATACTTATTGTGCCTGTGCCTACATCGCCCGATAATGGGGCTGGGAGGTACGGCAGAGTTGTCGACCCGGCCAAGAGCCCCGGTGACAGGTCCACCTCGACCACGTCCATATCGTTCGTGTCGTCTGATAACTCGTCGTATTGTTTTTCGCAGGTCGATCCGGACAATCTGATTGCTACCACCAAAGAAGGTAAGACCGATATTATGATTATATTATTATTGTTCTTTAGTCATTTTAATTAATTAATAATATTTTATACATAAACATGCATCGTATCCGATAATATAATATTGCCATATTGGGGACCTATATTATAATATCTGCAAGTAGTATATATACAGTATATAAACACATGTCAGAGGAGTTTACTACTTATACTAACCGTTCGTGAGGGTTAGGCTCTGCGAAAATTCTCGTAAGCTTATGACCCGCCCTTTATAACTCTGAATTATTATACCGTATCAGTATTTCGTCGAACTCCAGTAATATACAATAATTGTATTCAGAGAGACTATTATAGTGCAATACTTTGATTATACATTTCGGAAAAATACGATCGAAAGAAATATTTCCTATAAAACAAGAATTTATAAGTGTGTATCGTTAAAATTGTATATAATATATTTTGCATTAAAAATAAATATGCCTACTCTGTTCTTAAAATATGTGATTCATATGATGTGTTTAAAACATTTTAAATTTCTTTATTCTCTATGCGTAAAAACTAAAAACGAATCCCACGCTAGATTTAGTTTAGAGTATATAATATAATGGCATAATATAATATTCTATAGTATTAAACTAAAACTTGTATACTTACGGATTTTATTACACTATGATTTCAAGCTAATATTGGTCTCGAAGTGTTTATTTCAATGCGTATTTCAGATCGTAAGAACATTTTAACTATTCATTGTAATTATTGAGAGCAATGATGTTCACATTTTCTACTAATTTTTATTTTTTTTTAAATTCAATTAAGACATGTACTAGAAACATCTGCGTTTAACCGTGAACATAATTAACGTTGAACTCGTTAATGTAAGTGCGTTTCTCAGTGGGTAACTACCTATACACATCTGCACATACATATAAGTAATATACAGAACTGGCCACGAATGACCATTACAAATCGCAATAAATAGAACGTCAATAAATCTAAATGCTGTGGTCAATTATTCAAGTTTTTGCCTTGTGTGGAATGTTAGTGTCATTAGTGCAAAAATGTTTATTTTTAAATTTGCATACCCGTCAAAAAAGCAGCCTCAACCACACGTTTTGATCGATTGTGATAGCATAGATTTACAGATCACAATGTATAGGTGCATATACTATACACCACCAACATGCCTTAAATCAAATAAAAATATTTTCAACCAGTTCGATATTGCGTGTCTGACGCAAACCCATTGGACTTTAGAAATCGTTTCACGTACACGAATTCATTATGCTGGCGTCAGTACATCATATCGATAAACGATTTTCGAAATAATAATAATGTTCTTTGCACATCCGTGACACGAGATGAATAATAAACATTTTTAAAACAAGAGAAAACGCGAAATACGATCCCAAAATCTATACGATTATTCTACTATGAATATGGTAATTTTTAACCATAGATATTTACGATACCTTCACATCAAAGTTTCGTTGAACTCGCAAAAAGAACTGTAATAAAATGAACTCATAAAATTATACAGTGTCCAGTATGGCGTACAATTGTTACTGAATAAGATTAAATAATGAAACTACACTTAACATAAATCTTGTCCCTAAAATAAAATAATAGGTCTAATCCAATTTATAACAGTGCTCAAATAGATGCTCTTAAATATATGTACGACGAAATTAGTAAAAACGTAGTATGTATTATTTACATACAACACAATATTACATCAGTCGCCGAGTAGGTACAAATTGTCTTGTTCTGAGGCTTAAATATAATACATGTACGAGTGTAACTGTAAAAGCTATAAATATTTTAACTTCACTCTAATAATAGTTAGGTAGATACCTAGGTTTAATAACTGTCATTGAAAAACTGACTAACTCTTGCAATTTACTAGAAATTATAACTAAAATCAAATACCGTTCAATACAAATACCATCCATGATCCATACAAGTTGATAAGTCACTGGAAACGAGTAATTTAAATAAATAATTATATTTGGTATATTATTTAACTTAGCTGTTGATTCCAATCGATATATTTGTGAATTCTTGTGCAATATTTTAACCTATAATTAATAATATTAATTACTCATATATAGTATCATGTATTATGTAGTTGAATGAATGTTTACCTCTACTCTCCAATTTCTAATATATGGACGTATAGTATGTTTTTCTTAAATGTTAACAATACAATAATACATTTTTATTGTATATTATGAAGTTGTATGTTTACTTATACTGAGCAAGAATAATATTTTACACAAAATTAAGTAGGTTAAACAATAACATGAATACGAATTGTCATATTCCATATAATACCATAATATCAGTATAATAATTAATGTTGGATGACATCACTACGTTTTGTCACCAAGTATGCATTAGTAAAATATACATGTATCCATCAGACTTTCAATTTTAAAATTTTGTATTCTAACCGATTATTTGTGATTTATAATAATTGCATCATACAAAATAAACAGCTTTAAAAATGTAAGTCATTTTCAAACTCATATAGGAAGGTTATATAGTTACAAGTATTACAAATAAATAATATTACTTAGAATTAAATTATCTATTTAATAAATTAATTAAAAAATGTAGAGCTCAGCTTTTTTACACATTATATTAATAAAATGTATACACCTATAACCTACTCTTCGATAATCATGCTGTAGTTGACTAAATCAATGCATTTGTTCGATCTGAAAATAAAGTAAAAATTGTAGGTAGCCAAGTGAAACTCAAATAAATTCAATATTTTCCCGGACGAATAAGCACACCATTACAAAATAAAATATGATTAGCCAATAATTGATTAAAAAAAATATGGGTATCAAATCTCACTGACCTAACGCCAGTTACTAAAACTGGGTGTTGGTGGTTTTATGGAGATTAAACGTCTGTGGCTTGGAATCAATATAATAGATCACCGTACCTTGACGATTATTATATCTTAAAACATAAGATAAACCTACACCAATTATGTATACCTTATTGATTTTTTATTTACTACCTTTGTGTTATACAATATATTGTAGTGTACAAGTTTTACATGGGATTATAAATTTAAATTAAAGATAGAAAAAAAGTTCGAATAAACATCATTCACGGGTCATCGATTAGATCGCTTAAAAACGAGAGGGAAAATATTGTATTATAGGAATTATGTATCGAGAGTAACGAGAATAACAGCAAACATCGCTAAGGTGCTGTTTCTCGCACGTTAGCTTATTAATATTCGTGACGTACTCAAAACACAATAGATTGATAAAATCTGTTTTTATTTGTGTTTTGCAATTATTGCATAGCGTGCAATCAACTCCTTTGTAAAATATAGTTTATATACACTTATACATCATTATAAACATTAAACAGTAACCACCAGCTAACTAATAGCGAATACAAATAACTAATAAGTAATAACACAAAATAAACGTTATACACACATATCTTAACATTCTTTTAGTACTAAAAAGTCTAAGGTTAGTGTTTTAAAAATCAGGAAGAGACAAACAGTCAAATATTTATATAATTTCAATTTTAGTCTTCCTATTGGAGAATATTCATGTATTGAAGAACGGTGAATACAGTGTAGACGGTAGGTAGTGATATTTGTTTCAGGCCAAAACTAAATTAAAAGTCCAAAAAAATTTCAGAATTGTTATTATTACTACGGAGTTCAATTGCATGTACACAGATTTAAAAAACATAAAAGTTATTATTTAATATTTAAATCAGTAATTTATTACCCGTCCAAGCTTAAAATTATATTTCATTGACCTAACTATATGAACTATAAATATAAAACATATATAATACCAGGATCATACTGATTATAACCGGTTACATACAAATATAAACTAACAAGGGTTATGGAATTATTTTAAAGAGTAATTCGATACAGCAAATTATCTAATTTAACCAGATTAAGTTTTTATTTTTTTTGTTTCTGGTTTATTCTTTAATAATAATAATGATAATAAAATACATTGTTTAAATCAAGAAAAATATTATATAACCGACTCAAAAAACGAATAGGTCTTATGAAATAACCCTATGTTTACGTATTATTATAACTTTTATGGTTTTACTTCATCCAGTTTTCAAAAAGGAAAAAAAAATCACACGCTATTTTTATGTGCTTAGTCAACAAAAATTTACCCAACCCAGTAAATAGGTACTTAACTCAAAGTTCGTTAATAGAAAATATATATAACAGTTGTTTATTATTATCGTTTAAATGTACTGTTGTGACATTACATACACTATTATAGTTTAAAATTAGCATACTAGTATTACCACAATGTATCCCATGCGGAAGCATCTCGAACATCGGTTCGTCTGAAGCAGCATTGTGTACTTTCTCCGGGGTATTGTTAAATTGTTATGTTTTTAAGGCCTCTATATGAAGTCAAAACGTTTGTTATCCAATGAGTACGAAAAAAAACAATAACGATAATAATATTAATTATTATATTACTTACGTGGTTGGTGGCTACGTGTGAATGTTTTATTCATTGCAATAAATTAAAATAAAATATACATTATCCCTACTAAACGTGGAGATGTATACGACACCCTTGCATTGCTATTGATGAGAAAAAAATCGTCATTTCTCCGTTGGAGAGGAGCTAGACTAGTATATATTATATAGGCACATAGTTTTGTACTTTTGTAAATTATGCAGGACCTATAATATATTATATTATGTAGGTACGCTTGGCTTACTCCATGAGATAAAAACAATTTGAGCACTTTGAACAACAATTATTAATAGTGTTCAAACAATAGAAAACGTACTTAGGATGTCTATTGAAGGTCGATCATCATACAAAATAATAAAATATTAAAAACAAACTTAAACGTCTTAAATAAATGTACTAGAAAAAAATACAAGAAATGATTATACTTTTTACTCTTATATATATTATATTAGTTGCGTATTTAACGCACACACAATAGTTCATAACTCAATTGTGTACATTTTATAAATTCAAATAATTATCTGCTGGAGTGTGAAATCGTATATATAAATGTAGGCGTATATGATGTATAGTGTATACATGTACTATACATATATACAGATACAGATACATATAAACTATAAAGATATCACATTAATTTTAAAGTAATTTTTAGCCAAATGTTTTGCTGCGGTATGTTGACATCATTTTATCAACGGAATAAATTGTGACAATTTTACGCGTACGAAATATCAGGTGTAGACAAAATCTTTTAATAATATGTCGTTCAATTTTGATTGATAGTTATTTGAAGTGCACAAAATGGTGTACACAAAAGAAGGAATTAAAACGTTTGCACCTAATATATTTTTCGTTTGTGGCCACGGCAGCGTATATGCTCATTAATAAAATTTCATAACTACCGGTTGACAGATTAATAGGGTCCTAGTCTAGCCTATATTATAGTTCGAGCTTGTGTGTATGTATGCACACTACACCATTGCGTATAATAATATATATTTATGTGTGAGTGTGTGTGTGTACTTGTGGACACAATGTTTCCAAACTGAGAAATACACTGCAATATGTAATTTGCCAAAGAAAGTGCAATTCGCCCGTTTACGTATTATATTATATACATATTATCATACAAATGTGTGGGCAATTGTAAATGTCTCCGTTTCCGCGTCTGTTGCTGCAGCACTGCTCGTGACCTATATAACTATATATATTACTATACTTTATTGTATATATGTACTATGTATAGCTTTGGGCGCTCTGTGTGTTCAGCCCATTGATAATTATATTTGTTTAATATTTGTTATTCATTTTGTGTTTTTTTTTCACAATTTTAGAAGAGTGGGTGACTAAGAAAAAAGTTGAATTGACTACCAAAAAACAAATCGAAACTAGAGTTAAAAGACAAGTTGTGCTGGAAGACGGTAAAATCGTCGAGGACTCTGGGCCAATCGTGACGACCAACACGACCGAAGATACCGAAAAACAGGAACATCAACAAACCGAGGTAATTTCAATTAACACTCTAACTCAAACGCTTTAACTTGAGTTAACTACACCGATTATAACAAACTTAAACACCATCGATTTAGAAAACTGTTTTCTACATTCTCTACGAGGTCGAAATTAACTGCATATAGGTAATCATAAAACAAATAAAAAACATTTTAAAGTAGGTATTTAAATTTCTCGCAACGCATGTGTTATTCAGCATTCTCATATTATAATAAAGCTTGTCGACTATATCGGTGATATCTATACACGACTTACACCATACAGACTTACTCTGTACTAGTGGACTGGCTACGATATATCGATTCTTATTAAAAACTACGTACAATATAATACGTGTATAGAACTGAAAAGACATTTCAAAGTTTCAAACCAGTCTCGTAAAACGCAAATTCGTTGGTATTCGCTTATTATTATATAGATACATACTACATATATATATATATCTTCAGGCTCCTCGCGAGGTAATATAATTACCATTTCTTAGCGTATAATAATATAATGAGAATTATGATTGGTCTTTTTCACGCGGATATCACATCGGAGCATCACACAAAACAAGTTAAATTAGATCAGCGTAATAATTATATTCTTTCTTGGTATGTACAGTGAAAGGTAGATATTATCAAAAATATTATAATATAATACATAATATGTGAGCCGGCATTCACACACACTATTACACGTATGTAGTTATCTTGTAAAAAATTAATAATTATTATTTACGTACGAGTAGATACACAGTAACATTATACAGTGGTAGGTGGTAGATACCGGGTTGGTATACAAACATAGAGTCAAAGAAAAATCAATTTCTACACTACATATAGTATAGGGTTCAGCGAACGGTCCTATTGTTTTTGGCCGCGGTCTCTAGCCGGTTTTTACCTATTCATTATTACATTATAATTACTAATCCATCTATTCTCTCTGTCACGTTTGGAATCACTGTAACACCAATTGCATTCCTTAAGAGCGATGATCCTGCAAGAAATCGAGCTAGTCCGAAGGTGAATGTCATATGGTGACTATTACGGAATTCACAACTGAGACGTGATTGGAATAATATAATTTATTATTGACAACGTATTTCGATTTCGGTTTTAACGCACACCTTTAAATTACAACATTATAGAATACTACCCATTATTTATTACACTAAAATCGCTTTCGGATCATTTTTTTCATTCATTAAATTTAATCATGTGAAATTATTTAATAATAATTTTAAAGATCATTGTAATTAGAATATTTTACTATTTTATTTAGCATCGTCAATTGGGTGACGAGGGTGACGGAGAAAACACCAAAGAAGTGGTCGTGAGAATATCGTCATTGGAAGGGAACCCATCGTTGTTGAAAGAAGTTCGAGAAAAGAAAATTAAGAGTCGAGAAGAAAAAGAAGAGCTTGTAGAAACAGAGGATGTGGTCCACCTAGGAAATATTAGCGATAAGGTTCGTAAACAATAATATATTATAATCTCATCATTGATATATACCTATTCGCCCACGGTAAAATATCTGCAACATTATGCCGCAATATAAATATATACCATAAGTATATAAATGTATGATTTGCGTATATAAAAACATCAGAAACTATTGAGATTTATTGTTCATCCGACATCAAATCTGTACGACGTATTCATTAGTACCTACGTCGTACGTGCGCGTACAGAAAATGTATGTTTAAGTTGATGTCGAGAATTAATTAAAATACAAAATATAGTGTACGGTGATTACCGGAAACCATTAAAACCAAACAGATTTATTACCTAAAAATCGTTTAAATTGTTCAGTATATCTAATAATATACTAATATATACATATGCGACTATACTTTTAAATCGTTATTTATATAATATAACCATATTGAAGAATCGGCTACAAATTATTACTTATTATTATGACGCGCAGGACGCATAATATATTATAATAGGTGTTCAAACGCAATAAGTTCTTTCGAAACCGTTCATTATGCGCTGTATCGTGCATTGACATCGCGTCGCATATCCTGTGAACGTCCTGCAGTGATTGCCTACATAATATGTTGTGCGATGTTATAAGTTCTGATCTATAACACGTACGTGACTGGCGCTATAATACGCATGTATTATATACGTTACGCTCTATATACTTCGATGATCGTATTTATTCAAATGTCGCAGTGATATCGAATGTATATGTATAATGTATAAAGTGCTGTGTATATAATATGTAGGTATGGACGTTGCATAATATTCGTCATCAAACATACATTATTCGTACGGCAATGTCATTGTACAAAACACTGGATAGGCACTACTTACCTGACTAACTATGTACAGAGTGATTCGCCTATCTTGGCCACCCTTATGTTTTCCCTTTAATAATTAAATTATAGCTGGATTTCTTATATCATTTAACCATTTGCCTATGGTGAACCTTTTTTCTAGCAAATAGTAACTCAGAACTCAGATGACTTTTTGAAAATGTTGATGTACTAAAATTTTGAATCAAAATTCGGGAGAGTAGTTTTTGAGTCATTTATATTTTTGTACTAAGGTTAATAGGCACATGCTAATGGATTTGGAAGAAATAGGGATATAATTTTATGAATATTATAGTATATTTATTATGATATTAGTATTCCAATATTTTACAATTTAGTAAACTACAATAATTACTTTCGATTATAATAAATAGGTAGGTACTTTCTATATTAATATTATTCAATATTACATTGTTTTATATTTTTGAAAACATTTTTTAAGGGTTATTATCCTAAGTTTATGTACATTAATGCCTCAGAAACTGCTAATTGCTCAGATTTTGATATTAATACTTCATAAGGTTCAAAAAAGTTATCTGATTAACAATTTACTGGAAAAACGTTGGTTCTCATTTTAAAAAAGAAGTAGGTATCGCTAGTCGTCACATCCACTACTTAAATGTTATGAACAATTTAAATAATCAAAAATATGTTCCCGAAGTCTTAAATCTATTTAAATATTTAATAACATTCGAAAAATCAGAAATTCATGGGTCATGTAAAATATAGGGGGAGCACGCTTGGTGAATCATCCTGTATATGTGTATACACAATCATACTATACAGCGTCATAGCGACGACCATCACAACAGCTATATAATAATTTATAACATATGATCAGATTTATAGATATTATGATGTTGGTGTAGGTTATACTTGTAATGAAAAGAATAGTATAATACGCCTGTGCAATCTCAAAAAGTTAAACGTCTATTTTTAACATTTTATTTTATACACAATTATACTTGTTTTAACGGACTGCTACAGGCAGGTCGATGAAATATGATATTCTGCATCAAATAAACTTACGAATATTATACAATAATGAAAAGATTTTTCTCTCTTTCGCTGTAATATAGAATATTATATATGATGTAGTTCAATTGCCAATTATTATTATTAATGTAGTTTGATTAACAACGAGCGGTCAAATGAGACACCCACCAGCTATAGCTAGCTGCAGATAGTAACGAATGCTCAACTGGACAACAACAATCATAATAATAACTCTATGGTTGTACGGAGCGCATATTATTATACAATGTACGCCATACGTCGTAGTTACGCAACATATCCATTATTTGTGATTTTTTTTATCTGTACAAAACCATAATATTATTATCTACGCGCGTGTACACATACCTAACGGCTAATATGCTATGGTTATAAGAGATACTTCTTCGATCGTATCTCCATTACATTGGTATATATATTATAAGTACTTATCTATAGTCTATACTCGCGGACCCGCAGTACCTGCCTGTACCAACATTTTTTCATTTCGGATTTACAAGATCGCTGCAGCCGTATAATATACGCACCTCCTATATTGTGTATACGCCCCGAGGAGTGTGCTGTGCAATTTAGTTTCGTCCGGCGCATACGCATAAAGTGCGGCTCGTTAAGAACTCAAAATGAAACCGGTTTTCGAAACAATTTCTTTAACCCCTACCCCTTGTGTGTGTGTGTGTGTGTGTGCTTTGTGTGATAGGCTACCTACGTGAGATTGCGAAAATATATATATTTTTTTATCATTTCTTCGAGATCTAAATAATGGCGGTTTTTCTTCTTACGTGTCGCGCGGACTTCCTTAACACGTGTACGATCATACGCGCATAACATTATCTGAAACTCGTGGTATACCTATATATATATATATCGGTAAGTACTAAGTACGCGTGTTTACTTTTTTTATTATGGGTTTACGCGCCAAGTATCAGATTTTCGTGACCATTGCTATTATAATTGTGCACATAATATAAATCAGGAGGTATATAGCTGTTATATATATAACCATCAACTTGTCAAACTAATTAAGAAACTATAGGTATGTACAAGTACACAACTATAATATACAAATTACTAGCCGCCCCACACTCTTTCGGTTTGGACCATTTGTTCTGAATTAATATCCAATTCGAGTTGTACAATAATGCCTCTTTCTCTCCGGTGGGTAGGTATTCGGATTTAATTTGTCAATTCGAGACAACGTATTTTTAATTCTTTTTAATTTTTTAATAATATGGTTATTACCGGTTGAATTAGTTAGTAATTGCACTTTGTATTATTATAAATATTTGAAACGTGCAATTACACCATATTTAATATGTTTCAAATTGATTGATATCAAGTATAATATTATAATATAGCGTAATTTGTATAGTGAGATAAAATCGTTTAAATATCGTATGTTCAGACAAAATGCACGTAATTACAATTTCATAATATTATTCCCTTTACGTGCATTTGGCGTATATTTCTCACATAAGAAACATAACATAATATAGTAGGAACTACGCATGCATATTATACGCTACCATAAATCGACTAACCTAATAATTTGCTAGTTGCTCCTATATACTTTAATTGCACCTACTGCAGGAATTTCACTACGCGTAAGAGTCGAGTCAATTTATGACTTTTGCTAATATGTAAGCCGTTTGTCTTTTGACTCGTGCGTTCTGTATTTTTTTAATGCAGTCTGTATCTCATATATTGGTGTCGTGAAAACCGGGTTTTTTTTTGTACTTATATACCCATTTGCTTTCTACCAGCGGCGTTCACGACCTGAAACAGTCGACGCAAAATTGGAATTTCGTGTTTACACAGCGAATTAACCGATTCACGGGCTTTTATATTTGAACAGTTACGTACATATTATAAAGTACGGAAAACCTGTTTATAATTTTTTTTTATTGTTGTTAAAAACAACTATGCGCTCTCGAAATATGTGTTTAGCTAAACTTCTAAATAACAGCAGTGGTATAATTCCCGTCACCCGGAGACACCACACCCATTGCAGGTAATATACCTATATAATGTGTTTTTCTTACCATTTTTATATTCTGCGCTTCCCAAGGTGAGCCACTGCACTTGGTCTGTGGTTTATTACTCGTCGGACAGCACTCAAAACGGGGAAATAATATTATACGACTGTGGTACGGTTTTGCCCTCGTATTTTATCACTTGCACGAACGCATGCGTGAAATTTCACCGAAAGTTCGGTTTCATACATTGTGCATGCGTAGCCTTGAAAAAAATAAACATATAGTTATTTCAGTATAGGTTTAAATGATTTAATGCTAATTTAAAAATAAAATAAATATTATTGTGTAGTTCGTTAAAAAAATTGTATTCGTATACAATATTGTGTCTAATATTATTGTTATGTATGTTTTTTTGGGAATCTTAAGGGCAGTACAATTTTATTTTTTTTAGACCTATTACTATCTAATGGGTCTTGTTTGTAAATATAATAACTAGATCAATTAATGTTTGTATTAAATGTCATAACTAATATTATTATTTAATTTTTATAGTACAATGTAGTCAATTATTGTAATTTATTGTTTAGTATTTAAAATATTAAACTATTTTAAGCTAAAAGATTCTATAATTTGTAATGTATTATTATACAAGACAATATATTCTAAAAAAGTTAATGTATTACAAATAATAGTTTTTAACTATTCACCTTCCTCGTAATTATTTATAACTCAAATGATTACTTAACCGTTATCTATTGGCTATCAGATAAGTATGGTATCATTATGTTACACAATAATTCAATCTTTGTCACTACATTTTTTGACATAACTTTATAAGTAATATGTGAAAATATAGCTATAATTTTAAATTTATGTGTCAAGAGTTTTAAATCCCAAAAATCATCTTCTTAAGACAAAATACTTATATTACATATTATAAGTTATATTATTACTCCCTTATATGACTATTGCAGTATTGTACCAATAACAATTAAGGCATCAAGCCATTTATTTTATATTTATTAGTCTTAATTTAGGCATTAGGTAAGCAATATTATAGACGCATGTACGCAAATTAGTTATTTTCAAAATAATGTAAAAAATCAATAGGACTAAATATGGTTAAGATATGTCTAGGATTTTAAATAAATTCATTA